TGTAGGTCCTGGGGGACTGAACTCAGGTTTGTCAGACTTGGCTACAAGCCCCTTTACCTGATGAGCCATCTTGCCAGCCCTCATCATCTTTTAATTTTGAGATAAAGGCTAGCTTTAGACTCACTCTGTGGCCCAGGCTGCCCTTGAACTTGTGATCCTCCTGTTTTAGCTGGGATTACAAACCTGAGTCATCAGGCCTGGCTTATTGTGTTGGGGTTTTTTTGTTTTGTTTTTAAAACAGGGTCTCACTATGTTACCTCACACTCGCAGCAATCCTCCTGCCTCAGCTTCCCAAGTGCAACTCTACCGTCCCCAGCCTTCCTTCTTTAGACCTTCCTGATTCACTCTGACTTTCTCTAACCTTTCATCCATAAAACTGCCGTCCTCTTCCAGCCCAGGCCCCGGCAGCATCCTCGGCAGGCCTAAATGTCTGAGGCTCATGGGTGATGCTCAGATTTGCCTGGAATGTTCCAGAAGCTTCCTCCAGCACAGCCCCCTAGCAGGGAACTTTCAAGCACCTGTCTCCTCTCCCAGCCCTTCCCTTTCCAATTTGCATATTCTGTTTTTAGCATCTTTCTTTGTAGAATTTTACATAATCTGCCATTAAGCTACTGTCAGGGGAACGGAAGGCTCACATTCAAAGCCTCTGGTAGCAAACTGCCTGTCTTCACTTTCTTTCTTTTTGTTTTTTAAACATAAAAACTTTACATTTTAGAATAGATTGACAGGAACAAGCTAACTTGGGAGCCCAGGACTGAGAGGCCCACACACGACCTGTGACCAACGTGCCCGGTGACTGAGATCTTATGATGGCCAGGGGACAGTTGTCACAGTAGATAAATCAGTATTGACACCATCCAGGCAGGCGGTGCTGGGCTCCCGGAGCCTGTCTTTGACGCTCTTCATTTGAGTCCCTGTCCAGGGCCATGCTGCTGTGGTGCCTGGGGACAGTATATCTGGATTTCTGTGTTTAGATTCCCTGAACCGGTTTTTATTTTATTTCATTTCATTTATTTTATTTATTTTGAGACAGGGTCTCACTATGTAGCCCTGGCTGGCCTGGAACTCACAGAGATCCTCCTGCCTCTGGTTCCCGAGTGCTGGGATTGAAGGCATGTGCCACCATGCCTATTTTTTTTCTCTTCTCTCCTATTTATTTTTGTAGTGTTGAGGATGAACCCAGGGCCTCACACATACTAGGTGGGTGCTGATCACTGTGCCACATCGCTGAGACTCCAGAATTCCCCAGTGAGGGACTGGGGACAGGGCTCAAGGAAAATCTTGTTTGTCATGGGGAAAGCCCTTGATTCAGTCCCAAGACCTCAAAGAACCAAAAGGAACATGCTGGAGGTCGGGGTCTGGAGTCACATGGCAAACCAGGCATTGAGCATTGAGTAGTTGGGGTGACTGCTGGACACTGTGTCTCTGCAGGGTGAGACTGTGGGTCTCCATCCATCTGCCTCTGGACAGAAAGCCTCTTTCCATTTATTGATTTTTGAATTTCATTTCTTTATTGTGTGTTCTAATGCCTGTGTGTGGAGGTCAGAGGACAGCTTGTGAGGCGGTTTTCTCCTTCCACCGTGTGAGTTCTGGGGATTGGACTCAGGTTGGCAGGCCTGGCTGCAATCACCTTTACTTGCCGAGCCATCTTGCTGGCCCTCGCTCAATTTTTTAATGGAAGTTAATTTGTATATATCCACTCTCTTTTCTCGTTTAAATTTGTCACTTTCCCCATACTGCTGCCTGCATCTTAAGAAGCTAAGGCAGGAGGAGTTTGGGACCAGCCTGGACGACAGACTCTGCCTCAACCCACCTCCAGCCTTCAAAGCACCAAAGACTTGGAACAGGTTGTTTGGTCCATGGCTCAGTTGGCCTGTCCTTCTGCCCTGTCCACTTAGGTGTGTGATGGAGCCAGGCCCGCCCAGCTGCCGGACACATCAATGCCTAGCTTTTTAACCCTTTCCTGCCTGCACCCCGCACCATCCAGGGTGGGAGTCATCACCCTCTGCTCCCAGCCTTGGTAATCAGAGTTCCTGGGTGACATATTTAGATCGTTGCTATGGTGACAGGGTTGACAGTTCCGCGTGGCACAAAGACGGCCCTGAGTTGCTATATTGAGCCTGCAGGAGACAGGGCGCCTGTGTCACGTGCCCATGTTAGCGAGGGAACCAGATGGGGAGGGGCACAGACAGCCCATCCCACCCACTCAGTGGAGGAGGTACAGTTGTCACCTTGATAGATGTGCTGGGGGGAAGTGGGTCTCACCTGGGGGTGACCATATCCTCCTGGGGACCGGGGGTGACAGCTTTCGACGTGTGTGGCCATCACAACTTGGGAAGCTCCTGGCATGGAGTGAGTAGAGGCTAGGGACTTTGCTTAGTACCCTGCAGGACCCAAGACATCCCACTAAGAACAACTTAGAACACTGCTGGCAGCACCCAGTGGGGGCCCTGGGTTAACTATTTGGGATCCTGTCTTTCAGTTATTTTAGTTGTTGCTGTGACAAAACACCTGACACAGCAACTTAAAGGAGATGAGAGGTTTATTCTGGCTCACAGTTTGAGGGCACAGTCCATCGTGGTGGCAGGAGCGTGAGGCAGCTGCTCCCGTTGTGGCTGCAGTCCAGTCAGGAAGTGGCGAGAGCTGCGTGCTGGGGCTGCAGTCCAGTCAGGAAGTGGCGAGAGCTGCGTGCTGGGGCTGCAGTCCAGTCAGGAAGTGGCGAGAGCTGCGTGCTGGGGCTGCAGTCCAGTCAGGAAGTGGCGAGAGCTGCGTGCTGGGGCTGCAGTCCAGTCAGGAAGTGGCGAGAGCTGCGTGCTGGGGCTGCAGTCCAGTCAGGAAGTGGCGAGAGCTGCGTGCTGGGGCTGCAGTCCAGTCAGGAAGTGGCGAGAGCTGCGTGCTGGGGCTGCAGTCCAGTCAGGAAGTGGCGAGAGCTGCGTGCTGGGGCTGCAGTCCAGTCAGGAAGTGGCGAGAGCTGCGTGCTGGGGCTGCAGTCCAGTCAGGAAGTGGCGAGAGCTGCGTGCTGGGGCTCAGCTCATTTTCTCCTTTTCATTCAGTCCAGGACCCCAGCCCAGGGGCGCAGCCCACATTCAGGGTGGTCTTCCCTCCTGATTAACCTAATCCAGAAACCCCCTCACAGACAGGTCCAGTCTTGTCTCCACAGTGATTCTGGATCCTGTCACGGTGACAACCAAGATCACCCACTACAATGAATCGAGAGGATTGCCATGAGTTCCAGGCCAGTCTGGGCTATATAGTCAGATCCGGTCTCAAAAAACCAATAAACAAACGCGATAGAGAGTGGCCAATAGAGATGGTTCTTCAGGAATGAGCATTTCCGAGTTTCTCCTGGAACATGCCATTCCCAGGGCACTGTTGAGGTGCCATGGAAGTCTCTAGAAGTGTCCTAGTGATCAGTTCTGTGCATTTCTTTCTGCTATGAGCTCTTAGGTCTTTGATGACTGACAGATGCAGGGGAGGGACTGAGAAAGAAGGACATGGGTGTCCCTGTCCCCGCAGCTGGGGACAGGGACGGGGACAGGGAGGTGAGAGTCACGACTGGTTGATTGGGAAATAGAAGCTAGTGCAACACCTGCCACGTGCCTAGTGAAATCATCTGCGAATGTAGGGCCCTCCATAACCTTCTCTGCAATTCCCCGGGACCGCTGTAGAAGCTGTGCACACCGGCCTGAGTACACAGCCTGCCGGACCTCTAGCAGCTGCTGAGTACTTTGCTCCCGCCCTTACATCACGTGTCCCAGTTGCTGCCTGGGCTTGGCGCCACTCTTCCAGCAGCTTCTGTGGCAAGACTTCCACCTGTAGGCGGCAGTGGGTACTACAGCTCCATCCTTGAGACAGACTATCCCAACCTAGCCAGGAGAAAAAACAAAACATTAAAATTTGGCTCATAGGCTGGCATGGTGGCACACGCCTTTAATCCCAGCACTTGGGAGGCAGAGGCAGGAGGATCTCTGTGAGTTCAAGGACATCCTGGTCTACATAGTGAGTTCCAGGACAGCTGTGGCTACAGGGAGACCCAGTTTTGGTCAAAAAGACCAAAAACAAAAAACAAAAAAAAAAAGGTTGTCTCATTAGGGCCGGGCTCAGTGTGTAGAGTGCTTTTAGCTCAGTAGGTACAGTGCCTGTAGCTCAGTGGGTAGGATGCTTGAAGCTCCATGAGTAGAGTGCTGGCCTAGCATGCACAAGGCCCTGGGTTCATCCCCAGCACCATGTAAACCAGGCGTGGTGGCATCAGACGTGGTGGCACATACCTGTCATCCCAGTACTCAGTAGGTAGAGGCAGGGGAATCAGGAATTAAGGGTCATCCTTAGGTATATACTGAGTTTGAGGCTAGCCTGGGCTACATGAGACCCTGTCTCAAAAAAGAAAAAAATAAGGTGTAGATTTCAGCATGGTGATGCATGCTTTTAACCCCAATGCTCAGGAGGCAGAGGCAGGCAGATCTCTGTGAGATCGAGGCTAACTGGGGCTATGTAGTGAGTTCCGGGCCAGCTGGGGCTACAAAGAGACCCTGTCTCAAAAAGAATAAAGTGGAAAAAAGTTGTTTAATCTTCAGTAGGACTATCGGGGTTGGGCGTGATGCTCCTGTGGGGCTGGGGGACCGCAGGCCAGGCCCCCAGACCCATTGAGTCTAGCCTGGCGTCACCTTCTGACTCTACAGCCTCAAAATGGTCATCCCCCTGCCTCCATTCACCTGGGAAGGAATGTCATCCAGGACTCTGGTCTGTGGTTCAATATCTCTCATGAGCCCCCTCCCCACCTTCCAGGTCCTTTTCAAATGCACGGAAGATTAGTTATAGTGCGTAGGAGCCTCGGGTTGGTATTGGCCCAGGAAGAAGTCACAAAATGAGGTCTGTGTGGTCTAAGCCCAGGTGTGTGACCTTCCTTCCAACCTTGGCATCTGCCACTAAGGGGTGCCAAATTAATGCACAGTGCCAAATCATTGCACAGTGCCTAATTAATGCACAGTTTTCTCTTCCAGGGATTGAAGGCTTGGCATTAGAACTTGGTGCTGGGGACAGCGAGGACTTGGGTTCTGGTAGGTGCTGTTTGGATGGTTTTCTGCTCTTTGTGGTTTATTCAGCAATTTTGAGCCTGGGATGGATTATGGAACCAAATGGTGCTGCCGGGCACTTGACCTTGACCAGGTCTGAGTTCCTTGGGGTCATGCACAGACCAAGGAAAAGGACGATGCCTGCTAACATGTGGTGCTGGTGATGGCGGACCTTGACCCCAGACAGTGTCAGGCAGGAACGCTCACCACCATGTCTCCTTACTTTTGATCATCTTAACTCCACCTCAGAAAATTTACAAAAAGATGTTTTGGTGTCTTGCCCCATTTCCTGGATCTCAACTTCTTAGTCCCCACCACAGACAGACCTAGATCTTGGACACAATTCTTATTTGAGATTTGCTGTCTTAGTTCATTTTCTGTGCCTGTAACAAAATACCCAAGGCTGGTGCTTTGTAAAGAAAGAAGGTTTGTCCTAACAGCTCATGTTTAGAACTTGTTGACTTAGTCCATTTTCTGTGACAAAACACTCAAGGCTGGTGCTTTATGAAGAAAAAAAGGTTTGTTTTGACTCAGTTCATGTTTGAAACTTCATGTTTTAATCCATTTTCTGTGCTTGTAACAAAACACCCAAGGCTCAGGCTTTATAAAGAAAAAAAAGATTTGTTCTGACTTATAGTTCATGTTTCAAACTTTATGTCTTACTCTATTTTCTATGCTTGTAACAAAACATCTGAAGCTGGTGCTTTATAGTGGGGAAAAAAAAAGGTTTGTTTTGGCTCATATTTAAGCTTAATGTTTTAGTCTGTTTTTGATGCCTGTAGCTAAACACCCAAGGCTGGTGCTTTATAAAAAAAGAAAGTTTGTTCCACCTGATAGTTCATATTTGAAACTTAATATCTGTGTGTGTGTGTGTGTGTGTGCACGCACGCATGTGCACCTGTCTGTGCTTGTAACAAAACACCCAAAGCTGGTGATATATTTAAAAGAAAGCTTTGGGGGCTGACAAGAGGTCTCAATAGCTCAATGGGTTAAAACACTTGCTCCCAAGCCTAACGACGTGAGTTCAATCCCTGGCGTAGAAGGAGCGAACCAACTCCCACAAGTTGTCCTCCAACCCTCCAACCTTCTTTTAAAGAAGGCTTTTAGCTGGGCATGGTGGTACATGCCTTTAATCCCAGCACTCGGGAGGCAGAGGCAGGTGGATCTCTGTGAGTTCAAGGCCAGCCTGGTCTCCATAGTGAATCCAGGCCAGCTGGGACTACGGGGAGACCCTGTCTCACAAAGACCAAAAAAAAAAAAAATACAATAAGCCATATATAGGCATTCTTTTCTTATTTTGTACCCTCTTCCACATGAACTATTTATTTTATATCTGTGTGTGTTGCCTGCATGTAAGAGAGCCACATGCATGCAGTACCCATGGAGGCCAGAAGAGGGCATCAGATCCCCTGGAACTGGAGTTACAGACAGTTGTTACCCACCACGTGGGTGCTGGGAACTGAGCACAGGTCCTCTGCAAGAGCAGCCAGTGCTCTTAACCGCTGAGCATCTTTCTGTCCCGTCCCATTTGAAACATTTTACATTTGTTTATTTATGTGTGTTGGATACACTTCCAGGTGCACGTGTACCAGTCAGAGGACAGCTTTCAGGAGTCAGTTTTCTCCACCCAGCATGTGGGTCCTGGGACACAAACTCAGGTTGTCAAGCTTGTCAGCAAGCCCCTTTACCTGCTGAGCCATCTTGCCAGATTTATTTATTTATTATTTATTTATTTATTTATTTATTTATTTATTTATTTACAGGGTCTCCCTGTAGCCTCAGCTGGCCTGAAACTCACTATGTAGCCCAGGTTGGTCTCCATTCAGAGCTCCACCTGTCTCTGCCCCACAGTGCTGGATCCTGCTCTTATTTTAAAATTATTGCTGGTTGTGGTGGTGCACTCCTTTAATCCCAGCACTCGGGAGGCAGAGGCAGGTGGATCTCTGTGAGTTCGAGGCCAGCCTGGTCTACATAGTGAGTTCCAGGACAGCTGGGGCTACAGGGAGACCCTGTCTTAAAAAGACAAAAAAAAAAAAAAAAGATTATTTTTTTGTCTTTTTGAGACAGGGTCTCCCTGTAGCCCCTGGGAGGTTTAACAGGTGGATGGCAGCACAGCCTGCTGTTATCACCTGTGGCCATGAGAGGGCAGAAGAGACCACATTTCCAGAGTGCCCAGGGGCCCCCAGCATGGGTGTATGACCCTAATAGGGCTTAGATGAGGGGCCATGGAGGCTGGTCACAAGTTGGGGGTGGGGCTTGGCTGACAGTCACCCCCTCTGAGTGCCTCCTGCACCCCTGCAAGTGGTTCAAACTCTGGCATCCAATTAAAGCTGGGGTGTGGCCACCACCCCTGGGTCTGTCCAGGAGGTGTGCAATCACTGGGTGTCACCCTGAGATGCTGATGTGCCACATGGTTCCAGAACCTTCTCCCCACACCCCTCTGCAGTAGGGGACACAAGTGTTGAGGATTTTGTGACATTCATCCTATGTCAGGAGCCTGGGTTTCATCTGGGGACGTGTGTGGCCATCACAATATGAGGAGGAACTGGCATGGAGTGGGTGGAGACCAAGGACTAGATCAGCACCCTGCAGGGCCCAAGACAGCCCACAGGAAAGACCTGGAACAGGGTCCCCAGCGTCTGGGGACCCAGTGTTACTTGAAGGCCAGGGTCTCTCCTGAACGCACAGCAGCCCCTGACCAAGCACAACCCAACTGTGGACACCCACAGCTCTGGACGGCCAGCCCCACTCACATGGGAATATCACCTCCAATTAATAATGAGGACTTTACTTTTCTATCTTTATTGTTTTAAATTTCTTATTGATTTACTGATTTTAATTTTAATTTTATGTGTATGAGTGTATTTCCTGCATGCATGTAAGTGCACTCATGTGTGCAATACCCGCATAGGTCAGAAAAGGGCATTAGAGCCCCTGGAACTGGAGTTACAGACAGTTGCTAGCCACCATGTGGGTGCTGGGATTTGAACCTGGGTCCTCTGAGTAGCCAGTGCTCTTAACTGCTGATCCAGCTCTTGCCCTCAAGACCTTTTTTGTTTGTCTGTTTGTGACAAGGTCTCACATAGCCCAGGCTGACCTCAAACTCACAATGTAGTTAAGGATGATTCTTGGTCCTCCTGCTTCAGCCTCCCATGCTAGGCAAGCTCTGCCCACTGAACTACAAGCACTCTACCCACTGAGCAACAAACACTCTACCCACTGAGCTACAAGCACCTTATCAGCTGAGCTACAACCCCAGCCCAGAGCTATTCATTTTATTTTTTGTGACATTGCTGGGTTCCCCACCCGAGCTGCATTAAGCTACTCACTAAAGCCCAGTCCACCAATTTTACCAATCTGAAAAATCAAGACCCAGAGTGGTTTGGGGCAGAGAACCAGAGGTCCACAGAGGCTCCAGCTTCAGCAGATGCTGTTGCTAAGCAATGGCTGGACTAGTCAGCTTCCCCCATAGCTGTGGTGATGCAGAGCTAGGTCATTCCTGGGTTGGCTGAAACTCAGCCTGGGTTGATTCAGCATGCACGTGGGGGTGGCAGTCACATATGACGAGATGTCAGGGGGTGGTGGGGACATGGGGACCCAGTGGAGGCCAGACACAGCTCATTTGGAGTGGGTAGCAGACTTCCCCACAAGACCCCAGTCCCCAGAGCCGGGTACCTGGACTTTTGTTTGTTTTTTCAAAGATCTATTTGTTGTTATTATTTTGCTATTTAGACCAGGTCTCCCTGTAACCCCAGGTGGCCTGGAACCCCCTATGTAGCTCAGGCCGGCCTTGAGCTCACAGAGAGCCTCCTGCCTCTGCTTCCCCAGTGCTGGGATTCAAGGGGGGCACCACCACACCTGGATTAGGCCCTCCTACTCCGAGTCTCTAGCCCTGGAGGCCCAACCCTTTTGAGCTCTCTCCTGATTAATGCAGGCCCACCCTTTCCATGAACTCAGACCCAACTGATTTGAGACCTTATTTATTTCTTCAAAATTCCTTTTTGAGACAGAGTCTTATGTAACCCAGGCTGGCCCCAAACTCACTATGTAGCCCAGGCTGGTCTCATACTCACTACATAGCCAGGCTGGCCTTGAACTCCTGATCATCCTGCTTCCACCTCCTGAGTCCCCTTCCCCTCAGAGGAGCATCTATGGGGCCCCAAAGGTCAGAGTCAGGAGAGGGATGTGTGGAAGCCATGGCCACCTAATTAAAAAAAAAAAGTTTTTGCCAGGCCTGGTAACTCAACACTTGGGAGGCAGAGGCAGGCGCGGAACTTTGTGAGTTTGAGGTCTACATAGCGAGTTCCAGGTCTCCTGGGGATACAGAAAGACCCTGTCTCAAGAACCAAAAAAAATTTTTTGAGGTAACTGTAATTCCTAAGGAGTTTTAAAAATCTCACAGAGCAATCCCGCCCTCACCCTGGTCCCGCCCTCACGCTGGTCCCGCCCTCACCCTGGCGTCCTGCACCATCTGCACCTTCCTCACTGTTAGAACCAGGACGTTGGGCCTGGCATTGGGGCGCAGGCTTGGCTGGACCTGGCTCCTGTGTAAGCAGCAGAGGTCAGCATCCATGGCCATGGTGTGACCTCCCCCGTACCATGTGCAGGGTCTGCAAAAGGCAAAAACCAGACAAAAAGGGCTGGAGAGCTGGCTCAGCGTTAAGAGCATTGGCTGCTCTTGCAGAGGATGTGGTTTCGAGTCCCAGCACCCACATGGCAGCTAACAACCATCCTAACTCCAGTTCCAGGTGATCCAATGTCCTCTTCTGACCTCTGTGGGCACTGCATGACATGGGTGCAGTTACACACATGCAGGCAAAATACTCATATACATAAGAGAAATTTAAAAAGTTAATTCACAGTCTTAACTATGCCTCAGACACAGCTCATTCACAGAGCCATGCAACCACATCTACCATCCATCTCCAGAACCTTCCATGCCGCCATGCTGAAGTTCTGTCCGAATTTCACACTAAGTTCATGCT